TATGACGGACGGCATTGGCTTCTATCGACTATACGCTGTGGTTTTCCTCTTCTCCTCCTGCTCTTTTGGGATAAGGTGAACGAAACAGGAAGCACAAAAATCAAGCAGGGTTGCACTTCCGTAACCAAATGCAAACATGCAATTAAACACTGATAAACCCACCTCACCAAACCTTTTAAGGCCCTACAAACAGAACAAGTATAGAAAAAGACAAGCTCTGAACGCGACATAGCCAACATGTTGGCCAGAGGACAAGTCCCGTGTACTTGAAGATGCACATTCATTGGTGGCCAAGACACCAATAAAGCCTTGTAGGGGAACCTCCCTCCCTGCAAGTTCCACCATGAAGAATCTTCATGCTCTAGCGGGGTCTGGCCACATCTTTCTTAGCAAATTGGAGGGTGCCACCAAACCCACGCCTCTCACACTCACTGATGGCCAAACAACGGCATCTAACACAGACTGCCGAAGTCGGAATATCCATTATTGGCAATGATTCTCCTTCTCAGTGAGGAACAAGGCAGGAAAGCAACAAGAGAGAAAATCCAGGAATGTCACACGCAACATCGCACTGCTGCACACCTGCTTCCAACTCGACATGCCACGATCAAGACATGCGGTACTCCCACGGAAAGAGGACATATTGGGTCTCGCTGCACTATTGCACGAAGGACAAAACATTTTGCGTTGTATCTTTCCATGTTCGCACAAAGATTCAATTGGGGAGTAGTGCACCGAGGCCCATTAACTAGATGTTCCGGTGCCTTCGCAAATACCGAAGAGATTCTGCTTACTAACAGAGTCATATATACTGGCCCACTTCCTTTACTCTGATGTTCCTACAAGCACAAAGTCGTGCGCATGAGATTCAAATCGAATCCAAAAAAGATGATCAAAAGGAAAGCATCCGTCGGTACAACCAATCATACCCGTCCTACCCTCTCAATGGTGTACATGTATTCATGTGTGCAGTCAAGAAAGCAACACATGAGCCACCTCCACATGATAGATATTATCAAAAGACCACACACATCACCTCTTTTTCGCTGAGGCACAGTACCTGCCACATATCTATCCTTTTTATTACTACAAAATAGAGGATCCAAACACGCTGCTGCCCAACGAACGGGGGTACAAACACAGACACACAACTCCATGCGCTCCGAAAACAAGCAAAAACTGATCGCAAACCCGCCAAATGATCAGTCAACAGACTCAACACCGTAAACATCCCCGTAAACAAGGCAACAACAACAGCAACCGATGCCGCCTGAACACAACCTGAAACTTTGTGACACCAAAACAACAACCTGAAACTTTGTGACACCAAAACACTACTGCCTAAAGCACTGTAGATGCTCCTCATTCCATGTGCCTAGAGAAACTGTCCCCGACCACTTCGCAGATGGGAACAGCAAACTGAATACCGAGACACGACCATATATAAGTTCCCACCGTCCTCATTATTCACACCTTGCACTGCTTCCACAAACAGACCTAAACCATTCTTGAAAGAATTAAAGGAGTACACCAAAGGCACTCCCCATATGTTTTCCACAGTTTAAACCACCAGTACATCAGAAAGAGCAGATTGACCCTCCTAAAAATTTGGAGGCAATGGCCCGCCAATTAAATGAATCGGCGGTTCAAGCCTCCTATTTTTCAGGAGGGGCTCAATCTGCTTTTTCGGATGTACTGGTGGTTCAACCCAGTGCAAGTCCTTCCCTTGGTCTATAAACTACGCCAAGCTCGACCGAACGCCAACACAATTCAGCTTCTCAATATAATCCCCATGCAACAGCATAAACACTATTAGACTTTCCAATGAAGATATGAACCCAAACCTTGTCCGAACCCGAACAACACTTGTTTTGCATCATGAAACATCAACCATAATCATTCCTATCCAATTACACACAAAAATATATCGCCTGAGCGGTCGAGAAAGAAGTGCTCACAAATCTGTCCACATGACATGCACTTGCATACTTGAAATTTCATCAGGCACGTCATTGAGTTTTGCAGCTAAAAAAACAATTACCTGTTAGCTACCCAAGGCTTTAGCTGGTAAACCACACACCTGCGCTGATAACAAAAGGGAGCCTTATACCCCCACCATCTTCTCCGAAGATTACTGCACCTGACATTTTATATTCTTTGTGATTTTCTGTATTGACTGACGACATAGCTGGGAACCACATGGGACCAGACGGTAGAAAAAGAGACAAGGCCTCCGATGATGGACTGCAGGACGCATCCACAGCTTGTCTAAGCCTTGAGAACCTTGAGAACCTTGAGGGCATTGTTGCCCAACCAATAAAAACAACCGGACCCGGTAAGAACGTGCTCCAACAGTCACCCTCCCCCAAGAATTTCACTGCAGTTTTTTAGGAAAAAACTGGAAGGACCTACTCACATCAGAACATTGGCTCAAGTTACCATATAACTATGGCCAGCTACATCTGCTGACGTCCTACCATTACTGTGCCCCAACCGTCTAAGCCTCTGGGACGAAACGCCGAGTGAAAAATGCAGTAATGAAGGCTGGTCTCAGGACAGAGAGAGAGAGAGAGAGAGAGAGAGAGAGAGAGAGGGGAACGGCCACTCTGTGGGGTGAACAATCGTAGATCATTCTGCCAAAAAACGGCCTCTTCAAGAAATCCCCCTACGAAAGCGCAACCTTTCGAACTCATCCTTACGGAGCAACAACAACCTGGTTTCCACACGTGGCTTTTGGACCTCACAACCATGGCATCCCTCCAGTACAAATGGCAAAGCTGCTGACCTGCCATGTGCTCTCTGCAAATCTGTACAGCTGCGGAAACGAGGAAAGCAGCTGTGTGTGTCCTCTCTGCTAAGTTGTGCAAGGCTCCCGACGACTGACTGATCGAGGCCAAGTGCCCACACATCCCACACCCCCCCTTTGCACAAAAATTGTGCAAGAAAAGTCAAATATGCCTTCTGAGTGTGCATGTGGGCGTGTGCAATCTGATCGGACACAGGACAAGGGCAGGATTGGCCCAATTCACTTGCTGCGGGGATGGAGCTCTGCCACTCAAACATATAATCTAGCCGAACAATGAAAACAGAAAATAGAGAATCTGAAAAAGAGTTTAAAAGACCTTAAAAAATATGATTATTCTGAGAAAATCTGGCCAACCTTCCGAATTACACAGGACTGGACCACCATCAAAAGCACGGAATGGCAGGCACCATCTGTTAACTGTGCCTTTATCCCATCGAAAGTGGCTCGGACCAAGTGTGACACAAAAACAGATACTAGAATCAAGTCTACACAAAACAGCGGCTCATGTGCCCAATTGTGTGGGTCAGGACAGAGCAGTGCTCATCTGAAAATAAGAGCATAAATAGCACTTCCATATTCATGTGTGTTGAGTTCTCTTCTTGGCAGAGGTTTTGATGCTCCACTTCAATCCAACGAAGAACATTAGCACCAGACAGAGAGACCGAACAGTCTACAATTGACAGTCAGGTGGTATAGATTAACAGGAAAGTACTAGTGACCTCACCGTATAATAGGATCAAATCATTATGCTATACAGGTTCGTGTGTTAGCGGAAGTGTCATTCCAGTCTGCACTGGAAATAACAGAGCGTGCTGAAGTGGGGATTCTTCAATTCTTCAATTTGTTGCGGCAATGGCTTGAGAAAAGAAAGAAAATAATTGCAAGAGGTCAAGGGACCAAAACCTGTGTACCTCAGCTGAACTTAAGGCCAGCGTTCCCCCACATCCATGGACCTGGATGGTGTGTACCCCCGCTGACACACGGATAAATTCCACGTCTGTGTACTTCGCCACCACACCATCCAGGTCCATGGATGTGGGGGAACGCTGGCCTTAAGTTCAGCTGAGGTACACAGGTTTTGGTCCCTTGACCTCTTGCAATTATTTTCTTTGTTTTCTCAAGCCATTGCCGCAACAAATTGAAGAATTGAAGAATGTCCACTTCAGCACACTCTGTTATTACCAATTCTGGGTAGCGTTGCCGTTATTGCCAATTTCAGCATACTAGGTATCTTGCTATAGCATCTCGAACAAGGTTTCAAGAAACCAGACTGGTTCAACCTTCCACCAGATTGTAGGCTACAAGACTGGCACAGTTTGGTGTTCATTTCTGTCAGACGTAAGTCAGACAACCATAGCCTCATATTTCCGGAGCAGGCCATAGTACTTTCGTGACCAGACAAGGAGGGAGGGACCATATTATGGCCTGTGGGCACTACTCACAGAAGTGAAAAGGTGGAGTGGGCACGTGTTGAAGGCAAACACATTGCAGTCCCAAGAATACAACAGCTCAAGTTACGAGGAGCTGTATGAAGAGTTAACCTACAGAACTTATTTCTTTACTCAACAGTGTCAACACCACAGTTTTTCAGTGCCTCTAGTTATTTTCTCTCCATTCAAACCCAATCTTACATTGTGCCTCCTGACTGAGATCTCCATCAGTATTCTCTCTCTCTCTATCTCTCTCTCTCTCTCTCTCCCCCTCCCTCCCTCTCCCTCTCCCTCCCCCCGCCTACTCAAACAAGCACACATCTTAATTCCCTCATTCGCTTCCCCTCCCCACCTCCCATCTTTCAGCTCCACGTGCACACATCTTGGGATTCAGCATACAGACAGGACATCTAAAACACCCTTTGCTTCGAGTGCAATCTCTGATGCTGCATCTGCATATACACAAAGGTCTGAAAGCTCAAACACATCTAAAACATGGACACGCAGACGATATACCATTTGCCAGCACATGCATGCACTCATACCCACACATAGGCACACACATGCATAGACACAAAAGAAAGAGCATGTACACATCCTCCATTCTCATTGCTCCATATAACACTTGCGGAGTTGATCATCTTGGGCGCAAGGAAAACAGCAACAAGCCTGCTTTGGTAGACTTCATATACCCACCAACCCATACCACATGCAAGGCAACTTAAATAGGCTTTCACCAAAAAGCTTTGGAAAGATAAACTTACCCGAAGGCAGGCCCCGTGGTGCTCTTTGCAAAGCTGACAGAGAAGGTTGAATCTCTCCGACGTGACTTCCTTCTGCAAGCAAGAAAAGACCATGGGACAGCAGGGCACCAGATGTAAGAAGGATCAATGAGCAGCACAAGGCAGCATACGGCAATTGAAGGCCATCAAATGTGCCTGCCTCCTGTTACAGGAGTGCACTTTCATGCATGGAATGTGTGATTCAGGAGCGAAGCTGTGCAAAAACAGATGCTAGAAAGTAAAACAACGCAACCAACGGTTCCAAGCAAAGTCACACGTCGGTGCCGTCGAAAGAGAAATTGAGGACCAGAGGGACACAATGACTGCTGAAAAGATATCAGGAAGGCAAGACGTCAAGGCTTTGGAAAAAAGATACGCTACTGCAGGCAATCATAGTTTCTTGTACTGCTCAGCACGTCAGTTCCAGTAAGAATGTCAAACTTCCAGAGAGAAATTCACAGAAAAATGTGCTTCAAGCTAAATCAGATACCTAGATCTCTTCCCATTTAGTGTCGAAGTAGACAGTGCTTTCCTGCTGACGGTCATCTTTATTATTATGGAATGGGAGCAAGATGTTGTGGCAACAGGAGTCATTTACTGGGAGGATGTACAAACGATTTCAACACTACTACTCCCTGCGGCCCTAACAGCCAATCCCACGTTTCCTTCAAAGCCCATGGGATCCACTTTCTACATCACATTGTCCTCCGCTAGTCCCTCTTCCACCTTCACTGTTTCGTGAACCCAGCCATCATCCTAGGTAGACCTCAACTTCACTACGAAGCTAAGACACTGACAGAGTAATCTACAACTCTCTCAGAAAGCAGCACAGGTGGTGCTGTGTATTGTTTCAAAAGTGATTCAATTCGGCATTGCTCCAAGGTAAGTCACTGACAGCAAGGAGTGCACTTAGAAAAGAAGGAGTGCACAAATTTAAATTTCTACAACAACGCACACAGCATTCACAGCCAACCCCTACAGTAAATTCCTCCTGAGCAGTGAAGCCCCTCATCAGTTTGGCATAATCCAGCCGATTGATGTCTTCACAGAACTAACCACCATGCCGCCAAACCCTCTAGCTGTTTGTTCACACGTCCAAACATGCAAGTACAGAAAGGACTCCAAGACTTAAATTGTACGCTTGCACACCTGTGACAATCCCGCAAAGCCCAGCTGTCCAACAGCTCACCATGCAGGCACGCTTTCTCAGAGCAGGCAGTTGTTTGGACACCTCAAACAAGATCCCCCTTACACTGTTGACACCCCCCCCTTTCCAGGGTTCCAACCGCAACAGGTTCTAAGATAATGGTGGTTAAGGTGATTCCTTGGTGGGGAGAGTTTTGCTGATGCACTATTTCAGTGGGCACAGATATCAAAGAGCATGTGAGTTGTTGGATGAGATACTGGAAACTCACCAGCCCCTCCACCATGGCCGTCTGTTGCCTCCCCACACTCGTCTCTGGCATCCACTGGCCATAACCACCAGCAACTGGTTAGCAGCCAACCCATTTCAGCTCTCCACAAACGAATGAACTCCGATGCAGAAAAGTAGACGCAGCATTCAGATTCTCCTCTACCCAACAGCACCCTACGTTTGTCTGACATATTGAAAATATGCCCTGGGCAGATCAAGATAGGCAGGCACCTGTGCACAGAAGACGTGAACCCATCGGTTGTCCGTTGATCTCTTGAAGGCTCCAGTCCTCCCAGGGCAGAGAGCGCACTGCACCTGTTTGCACCAAAGCGACAGTGGCACACGACATATGGAGAAGGTAGACTCATCATTGACTTGCAGACCACGAATGAACATCTGACAACAACGCCACACACAGAAGCAAATAACAGACTGCAGGGGCAAAACAAGGGTGCCAAGCACAGCACAATCACAGCATTGAAAATATGGCTCAGCCTTTTCTCCGGCAGTGGATGGCATCCAGGAAGGGGGGGGGGGGGGGGGGGGGGCTGCATGGCAAGGGCCTACTATCCTTGCCTCGCACAGGAGTGCCATGCTGCCAGGGAAACGTCTCCATGGTACCCAGACGCACAGCATGGGCATACCTAAAAGCACAGGCTCAAGGCCCGGCCGAGCAGATAGTCCATGCACCGGAATCAATGAAGTCATGTCCATTCCCTGTACCACCCTCTCATCCCTACCATACCACCCTACTCCCTGCACCCCCCACCTTACCCCACTTCATTACCAAGACCGCCGTAATTCCTCCCCCTCTGTCATTCCCCTACAACCCTTATTCCCACCACCTGCACCCTCCCTCACCTGTGACAAATAATGGGCCATTTAACAGGCCACAATTCCAAGTTCGGACAGCCAAAATTTTCCAAATCCCCTGCAATCCCCTGCAATCCTCTGCATAACCAGGTCACAAGTACAGGTGGTGGGCAGCCAGCAGTCGGGCCATATTCACCATGGGCCGAAGCACTGCTTCAGAAACGAGTATACTGGAGGGCTCATGATCTACCCAGCAAGCAACTGCATCACAGGAAAGGTCTGCTGAATACATGTCAGTTTTTAACTTACCAGTCCAACCTCATTAGTTTGCAAGACAGAGCAAGCCAAGATATATGTGCAATTCCCTCCAGCAACCAACCCTGTTCTTTCATGCCAGATTCAGCCCCCAAAAGTGCACCCAGCCTCCCTTCCCCGCCCCCCCAAAAAAAAGGAAAGGCAGACATCATAGAGTTCAGGACTTCATCACGAGGACAGTGATGTACATACCCCTGGTCCGCTCCGTCCATCAGCGCATTCAGCAGGTGGTGTATCACCATAAAGGCGACGCTGCTCTGCACATGGCTGACAAAGCCATATCCCAGCAGCCGGCAGTTCACCCATACCTCCATAGCACTTAGGATGCACCGCCACCTGACATCCAAGCCACAAAGCAACCGAGTTCCACTCCTAACATCAACAACCTGACAACAGCCCCTTCACAGGCCACGCAGGCAAGAGCAAAAACCCTCCAGCTACGAGGTGCAATGATGTGCACTTCCAGGTGCAAGGAGCTTTGTTACTGTGGCCATGCCATACCTAAGACAAAAACCCTGAATCATAATATCGCATATCGCACAAATGGACGACCGCCACCCTCCCGTGAGCCACAGAGACCAATCTCACAAACAGTGGGATTTGTCGAAACTCACAGCACACAATCACAAATCAACACATGCCACATCGATGAAGCATGCATAAGGACGATTCTCCCTGAAATGTGCAGGTCATAGGAGTGATATCTCAGCACTGATCAGCATTCCTCATAATTAGCAGTAACAAGCATACATGTGGTACACCGACAAGCGCTGCAGCACGCCCATGCGCCGCACCGCACAGCGCACACTATGCACGCGCCTGCCATGTGGCACACAACAATCGAGGGGTCCAAAAAAAAAAAACGGAAGTTGGGGTGGGGGATTGTAGGCCCGGTAGGGACTTCGCGCTGCCAATTACAACAAAATAAATAAATAAAATTGAGGCCGTGAAGGGGCCCACAAAAAAAAAGAGCGGGGAGATGCAAGTCGTTCATTTTTTAACTACTCGGGCCTGCCCCACACCGGCCCCCATCCCCGCAGTCGACCTCGGTGCCCCAGCGCCACGCACTCCTTCAAGGCCGCCATGCCATCGTCGTCATCGTCGTCCTTCTCCTCTGCTCGTGTTCATTACAGCAGGAAGCGGCCCACAACTTTGTCGTTCAGCCATATCCTGCACGGCTTCGAGCAGCAGGACAAGGGAGCCAAGACTCGCAGCAGCGGCCATATCCAGGTGGGTTACCACCAGCCCCTCTCTCTCTCTCTGTGGAAACTGTGCAGCTCCTCCTCCCCATTTCTCCCTTGCCATCGTTCTTCTCCACCTCCCCTTTCTTCCCTCCTCCGCCATAGTTTTCTTGTCCCCCGCTTATCAGAGTGGTCGTCCAACCCCACCCCTCATTCCTCCTCGGTCGTCTCTCCTACTCCATCTTTCCTTTATCGTCTTTCCTCCATCCCTCCCCATCATTCTCCTCCTCAATCCTCCCTCGTTGTCGATCTCCTCCTCCCTCCGTCATTGTCCTCGCCCTCCCTCCTTCGACGTCCTCCTCTCTCCGCCCTTCTCCCTTCCCCCTCCTCCCTCACTATCAATCTCCTCCTCCCTCCATTCCTTCCCTCGTCATCGATCTCCTCCTCCCTCCGTCGCTATCGTCCCCCTCCCTCCTTCATTATGTCGTCGTCCTTTTTCCTTCATAAATATGAGTTTTTTAAGAGTGCTCCACTGCTCCCCCTCCCTCCTCCATCCGTCGTTGTCCTCCCTCCATCATCGGAGACATCCTTGCTCGGTACTCCCCTTCCCCTTCCTCCCCATGTATCAATCTTCTCCTCCCTCCTCCATTCCCCCCCCCGTCATCGATCCACTCCTCCCTCTTGAGCTGTGCAATCAACACCTTCATGAGAGCCATTTTTCCCTGCACACATACAGTACATCAATAGCCCTGGAGTCAGCCCCTTCTATCGCTTTTGGAGCACCCCTCTATCCCTGTCTCTTATACACATCTAGATGTGTATAAGAGACAGGGTTTGAGCAGTGTCCCTTCCAGGAGCAACTTGGTCATCCCATCCCCGACCGCATGCAGGCCCCCTGTTCCAGCTGTTGGGGAGAAGGCCATGCCCCTTAACATCAGCAAACGCTGCACCATTGGTTGGACGACCGATGAGGCAAACAGCATCGTCACCCACAATGAGCAGACCAACAAATACCTGGACCATTTCCTGATTTGCATGAATCAACCGTTCAGCTTGATTGAGAACATCTACTTCCTTCAGTTCATTGACGCGGTTAAGAAGTGCCATCCTAGTTGGCAGTCGTGCAAGCGGGACGAGATGAGGACGAAGCGGTTGGACGGGCAGTACAGACTTGTTGGAGAGGACATGAGGAGTCTTGTGAGGAAGTGGGAGAGGACGGGCTGCATGCTGCAAATGGTTTCTTCCACGGTTGGCACTGTGTTTTGGAAGTCCGCTTGCATGGAAGGCAAGGACAAGGATCAGCGGCTTACTTCAAGCTGCTGGATGGGGTTATCGAGGAGATTGGTCTGCAGTCCATCATTGGCATCCTGATGGACAACGTGAGGGTTTGCTCGAAGGACGGGAAAATGGTGGCGGCGAAGTACCCTAGGATTTTCAGTCTTGGCTGCACGGCCCATGCGTTGGACTTGGCATTAGAAGACATGTACAAGCGATTGGGCTAGCTGAAGGACGTCGTCGACAAGGGAAACCAAGTGAGCAAGTTTGTGACCAACATCGACAAGGTCCGCAAGATGTTCAATAGAATTTCAGATCCCCAACTCAAACGCCCAGGCGTCACAAGGCTAGCAACAAACTTTGAAATGGTAGAGTTGAAACAGTTTTCACCTTTTAGCAGTAGCGGATGCAGTACCCACGGTTCGATCCCTAGACCTCACCTTACCCATGTACAGTATCTGTGTAGACCCCGGGAATTGAACCTGTGACCTGTGTATTCGTAGGCAGTTGGTAG